ATATAATTACAATTATTCTGCGATAATATTGGTATTGTTTTATTGTCCAGATCCAAACAGAGGACGTGTTATTGAACTCAGATAAGTATAATGTTCAACAGTCTCCATATAAAGATGAACGACATGACAGTGTCTCGGTCGCCATCTCATAAGGTCATAAACTTTGCCTCCTCCATGTTGACGTGAATCAAACTTAAAAAGGTCAAAGCACACGTCAAACAAAAAATCCCTGCCGCAGACCAGTGTTCGAGAATTTAGGCTTAATGAAAGTGGAACAAATGGCTGGGTACTGTTTTTGGTTGTCCCGTGGTGGGTCTCACACAGTTCTTGGTGGAGGTGAAGCCTAAACAAGCCTATGTGTTCACACTGTGGCAGCATTCTGGTAATTGTGGCGCTCTGCAATTGTCAGCTTCATATATTTGGGCTATTAAATATTGCTAAAGACGCAACTGTTCCCATCTGGCAACACATTTGAAGCCTGGTGTTAGTTTGGCGGTTGCAACACCTCTGCTATTCAGCTATAGTGAACGATGAGGGAAACAAAGACTTGGATACTGGTGGAATGTGTCAAATCAATGGCACCAACATGTCATAACAAAAAGGTGGAGATTCTTGCCTGAACAGTGCAATCAGTCATTTCTATACCTCTACCCTCCTCAACGCCGGACAGCAGACGTGTCATTTCAGTGTTGACGGCCGACATAATTGCAACTCAGTGTCACAGCACAATAATAAGCAGTAACTAACATAAATGGTACACGCTGACTTCCCTGCTCTTATTGTGTTTATAAAATGGAAACCATTAATTCAGCAGCCTGTGCAATCATCTCACCTTTTTTCATTTTCTCTCCCTACATTTCATCAACACCTTCTCGATTGTCTATGCATGAGCAAAATGATGTGAGGAAATGGTTTTAAGTGTATTCGGAAGTCAGAGCCATTTTGCTTTCCGCCCATTACCTAATATTTGCATGATATTTATTAACAAGGAAAAGATTCAGTCAGAAAATTACTTTTTGGGCACAGACAGAGGGGGAGTGATGTATCATCTCTTATCAGAAATTGTTTTAATTTTCTGCTATCAGTCACTGTGTGGGAGTATGAAATCCCTTTTTTTTGGGGAACATCTCGTTTTCAAAACACCTCGTTTTCACTGATGAGGTCTTTGTGAAAGGCATCGAGAGCTTCGGCTCATTTTAAACCACTCACCCACTTCAGAGTGAGATCGATGCCGCACACAACTACGATAATGATCCTCATTGATGATTTTTGAGCCTTGATCTTTATGCTTCTGATAGTAAACACACCACCTCAGAATCGCCTTCACGCTCAGTTCCACCCCTGGGACACATGGGGTCATTATTGGTGATGCTCATGAATTCTGGTTTGATCCAGTCAATCAGGAAAGTGCTTTTTTTGGTTTTGTTAGTTATACACACTATAGATACTCGGTGAAAATTAACCCAGATTCTCATTATAGCAGCAGGGAAGTCACAAGTTAACTTTCTCTACCTGGATACAAACCAGGAAAAGGGAATGTCGTAACCCATCATTTCTTTTATCCATACGGCAAAAATAATTAGGTATTTGCTGAAGCTCTTTTTAAACTAAATGCCAGTGTTTGTTTCTGATGTATCCTTTACAGTTTTTAATGTCATATGGACTTATTTGATGTCACTGTTAATACATTTGTCATAGTTCTAAGGTGAAACTACTTTGGATGTTGCAAATTGTAATTTAAAAAATACATTAATACACTAACACTGGGTCAAAACCACTCATGGGTGCTGCGTAATTTGACCCAGTTTTAAAACATTTACTGGAAAAACTATAATCATGTATATCATGCAGCAATGACTGATAAAAAATATTCTATTTTGATTTGTGATGATTAAACCTGTCTCTTTACAATCATACACATTTAGAGAAATATGTAAGTACACATACACCCCTGCCTATAATCAACTATTGTTATTTATATTATTTAAGAGAGTCTATTCAACTATAGCTGGAAAATAATTTGTCTTAGTGTCACATGTGCAGCATCACTTCATTCACTTAATCTCTACTGCACTCTTACTCCAACTTTATGGGAGGGTTTTGATTTTAATGTGTCGATAGAGGGCGCTAGTAAGCAAGGATAAGGCCTCTGTAGGAATTCAGACAGTCGTCTGAGGGAGATGCCTCTTCTCCTCCTCTCCCACTCCTTCACTCACTCATTACACTCGTTTACTGTATAATTTCATAGACACACACACACACACACATTACGCGCCGCACTGTCCCAGTATTACAACCGTATCCCCTGACCCAAATTAAAGAGAAGTAAATGCTCATGCAGTCACATTTCAAGCACTATTTTAATTTGCCACTTAACACAGATGTGCAAACTGCGTGTTGAGGGATCGTGAGGAATCCACGCAAGCATCGCAAAAGTGCTCATTCGCCTCCTGGCTCTGCGCAACCCTTAGAAGAATGTGTGCAGAATGCCCGCCGTGCATCACAGGGATGTTTGCTCAACACTGTACCCATCACACACACTCACTTTGAGGGCAGCTGTGTTAGGACACACACAGCACACAGGGAGTTGGGTTTGCGCAGTGGCCGCGCACGGAACCCATGCTCGGATAAAGGATGGAGGGGGTGCGTAACGGAGGGGGTTTCTGCCTTTTATTCATCTTTATAATAAAAATGAATCCAGAGTCTAAACACATTTCTGGATGTTGAGTGGACACGGCAATATGCTCGGGCTGAGAGACGTCGAGCCCGCTGCTGCGCCAGAGAGCGCAGCCACCGGCGACCACACGCATACATGTTAGTATTAACCACGGGGAAACCAGAGCACTGCGCACAGAGCCGTGCCCGTCCCGGCCCCCCTGTCCTGCAGAGGCTGCGTGCTGCCGGACAGACATTTGGAAGAGCTCTCATATCGTACGCGTAAAAGTTGCACTCTGAATGTGTCACACGGAATCTCTTGCGGCAGCCTCGCTCCACATTGCGCAGGCTGCAAAATGAAACAACACCAGGCTACAATACGTCTCTTTTTATAAGGGAAAATACATTGAATTATTATTAATTTATTGTGGATCTCCTCACATGCATGTGGCACAAACGTGAAGCATCCTATTAGCGCTGTGCAAACTGTCGCGCCACGTCCCCTTTACCGGTGGACACGGCCCATACTATAAGGCATCTTTACCCCCCCGTGTTATTTCTAATCAAAATAATGTCTGCTGGCTTCAGGACCCGGCGATCAAGACTAAAGTCGGACCCTGTTTAAGTGCGCTGCTGCTGGGTGAGAAGGAACCGGAGGGGGTGGAGAGAGAGGGAGAGAGAGTGAGAGAGAGCGAGAGAGGGAGCGGGAGGAAGAGGCAGAGAGAGACTGCAATATCATTTGTGGATCCCTCTCACAGTGCTGCAGATAGGGGCTGCCAACACATGCGGCGCGTCTGCAGGTGACGGAACAGGCAGAATATGCTGGATGCACTGAGGAATTCAACCAACGTTTCCTAAAAAAAGAACTACAACGGATTTACATTTTTCTCAAGTTTTTGTATTTTTCCGCTTAAATCTTTTTTTTTTCCAAACGCAACCCTGATTCTTTTTTTTCCAGGAGGGGTCATGCATTGTGGAGTTGGCTCGCAAAAAAAGGAGAGAGAACTATACAGCCCTGTTGGCTGCAAGTGACTCGGAGGTGTAAGAGAGAGAGAGCAGGGATAAAGGCAACCGGACAGGTGATTTCACATCCACATCCTCGGAGATCGGAGAGTTGATCCACACTCGAGCCGTGCGATGAGTTTGGAAACTGCACGCGCGGGCATTTAAATGATCCTCTGACATATGTGGACATATCGTCGGACAGAGGAATATTGCAGCCTCACCCACACAAAAAAAGGAGATTATAATCCACAACCTGTGCGTAAAACGGCGCGACGTGGACTGGTGACACTTTCTGGTGATGTGACATTTTGGCTTTTACGCGCATAATCCACACAGGCCCGTTTGTGGCAACGTCCAGGGCGCACGGAGCCTCCCTGGTGTGTGTTTTTGTGTATGTGTGTGTGTGTGTGGTTTTTCTTTTTCAACACCATTGCGGTTTTTCTTTTACTAACACAAGAAAAGAGCAATCCAGCGCCGGCGGTGGAGGAGGGAGAGGAGAGAGGGAAGCCCGTGCACTTGCTGCTTTTCACTGCAGCAGGAGCGATGTCGGAAGTCGTCCAGAGGATGAAGTCTTTGCGCAAACCGAGGGCTTTGCACTGAATGAAAACGATATTCCGGACTTTCCATCAGTGATTACATTCTTTTTTTTGGACATTTTTCTTCAAACCCAAGTGGAACAATGAGGACTACTGGTGCAGTGGACTATTTGTACTATTGCATGCTCATCCTGCAGCTCGTGAATCAGCCCGCCGCCAAGCAAGTGCTCCGGTACCGCTTGGCTGAGGAGGGACCCGCCGATGTCAGAGTGGGAAACGTCGCCGCCGACTTGGGCATCGTCGCCGGGTCCGGAGAGGTGACATTCACGCTGGAGTCAGGCTCTGATTTCTTCAAAATAGACAACATCACAGGTGAGCTCAGCACCAACGAGAGGCGGATAGACCGCGAGAAACTGCAGCAGTGCCAAATGATATTTGATGAGAACGAGTGTTTTATAGATTTTGAGGTGTCAGTCATCGGACCAGCCCAGAGCTGGGTAGACCTGTTTGAGGGAAAAGTCATCATATTAGATATCAATGACAACACCCCATCTTTCCCATCCCCTGTCCTCACACTGTCTGTGGAGGAAAACAGACCCATTGGAACCCTTTATCTGCTGCCCACCGCCACAGACAGAGATTTTGGCAGAAATGGAATAGAGAGATACGAGCTCATCCAGGACAATGGTGAGAACTCAAGGCGCCTGGGCTCCACAGGGGATTCATACTCTGGGAAGAGGAGGTTTGATGAAGGCGCGAGCAGGAGCAGCGTATTTGAACTGCAAGTTGCTGACACCACTGATGGAGAGAAGCAGCCTCAACTCATCATTAAAGGGGCCCTTGATAGGGAGCAGAGAGACTCCTATGAGCTCACGCTGCGTGTGAGGGACGGAGGAGATCCCCCTCGCTCCTCTCAGGCCATTCTCAGGGTGATGATAACTGATGTGAATGACAACAACCCTCGGTTTGAGAAGAGCGTGTATGAGGCTGATCTACCAGAAAACAGCTCCCCGGGTGCCCCCATACTCCAGCTCAAAGCGGCGGATGCAGACGTGGGGGTTAACGGCCAGATAGAGTATGTGTTCGGGGCAGCCACAGAGTCAGTGAGGAGGCTGCTGAGGTTGGATGAGAGCACAGGGTGGCTGAGTGTACTGCACCGCATTGACCGTGAAGAAGTGAGCCAACTGAGGTTCACGGTAATGGCCCGTGACCGAGGCCAGCCACCCAAAATGGACAAGGCTACTGTGGTGTTGAACATTAGGGATGAAAACGACAACGTTCCTGCTATAGAGATAAGGAAAATTGGACGCATTTTCTTAAAAGACGGTATAGCCAATGTGGCTGAGGATGTGGTGGTGGACACACCCATTGCCTTAGTACAGGTGTCAGACCGAGACCAGGGGGAAAATGGTATAGTGACCTGCACAGTGGTAGGGGATGTGCCCTTTCAGCTCAAACCAGCCAGTGAAATGGAGGGTGAGCAGAATAAAAAGAAATATTTCCTCCACACGTCTGCACCACTGGACTATGAGGCCACACAGGAATACAATGTGGTCATAGTGGCTGTGGACTCTGGAAGCCCCAGTCTGGCAAGTAATAACTCTCTTATCGTCAAAGTTGGCGACACTAATGACAACCCTCCTATCTTTAGCCAGAACGTCGTTGAGGTGTCTTTCCCAGAAAACAATGCCCCTGGCGAGAGGGTGACAACAGTGGTGGCCATTGATGCAGATAGTGGGAAAAATGCAGAAATTGCCTACTCCCTTGACTCATCAGTAAATGGGATTTTCTCCATCGACGCAGACAGTGGAGACATCCGAGTAAACACCATTCTGGACAGAGAACAAACTGAGCGCTATGAATTCAAAGTGATAGCCAAAGATAAGGGCGTAAACACCCTCCAGGGCTCTGCAACAGTGGTTGTCCTTGTGGCCGATAAGAATGACAACGAGCCAAAGTTCATGCAGGATGTGTTCACCTTCTATGTCAAAGAGAACCTTGAGCCAAACAGCCCTGTTGGCATGGTTACAGTCATTGATGCAGATAAAGGCCAAAATGCTGAGATGAGTCTTTTCATTGAAGAAGAGGAAGACATGTTTTCAATTGAAAATGACACTGGGACGATTTTCTCCACCCTGTCCTTTGACAGAGAGCAGAAGACTACATACACCTTCCGAGTCAAAGCTGTGGACGGCGGTGATCCCCCGAGATCCGCCACCGCCACGGTTTCACTCTTAGTCATGGATGAAAATGACAATGCACCGATGGTCACTTTCCCAATAAACAGCTCCTACACCCTTCTTCCCCCATCCAGTAACATCGGAACAGTAGTCAGAACAGTCATAGCCACAGATACTGACAGTGGCGTCAATGCAGATCTGAACTACGGCATTATTGGGGGAAACCCCTTCAAGCTGTTTGAGATTAATGGCAGTTTTGGGGTTATTTCACTGGTAGGGAAGCTGGAGCAGAAGCATTATGGCCTCCACAGACTGGTGGTGCAGGTGAGCGACAGGGGGCAGCCTTCACAGACCACCACCACACTGGTTCACGTGTATGTTAATGAGACTCTTTCGAATTCCACAGTCGTGGAGGCCCAGGTGGCAAAGAGCCTGAGCACGTCTCTCAACACAAACATCGCTGGTGACCCGAACTATGATCTAAGCAAACAGCGTTTAAGCATTGTGATCGGCGTCGTTTCAGGCATCATGACGGTCATCCTCATCATTCTCATTGTTGTCATGGCCCGTTATTGCCGTCCAAAGAATAAGAATGGCTACGAGGCCGGCAAGAAGGATCACGAGGACTTCTTTACACCACAGCAGCATGACAAATCCAAAAAGCCCAAGAAGGATAAGAAGAAACAGAAATCTAAACAGCCACTCTATAGCAGCATTGTCACTGTTGAGGCCTCCAAACCCAACGGGCAGCGCTACGATGGCGTCAACGAGAAGCTGTCAGACAGTCCAGGCATGGGCCGCTACCGTTCAGTCAACGGAGGGCCCGGGAGCCCAGATCTGGCCCGACACTACAAGTCCAGTTCGCCGCTCCCCACTGTCCAGCTTCACCCGCAGTCGCCAACAGCTGGAAAAAAGCACCAGGCAGTTCAGGACCTGCCCCCTGCCAACACCTTTGTTGGCACCGGAGATAACATTTCCCTTGGATCTGACCACTGCTCTGAATACAGCAGTCAAACTATCAACAAGTACAACAAACAGGTAAGAAGAAATGTCTTTTTTTTTTCCCCCCTCCACTACTCTTAAATGTCTTCTGTTTCTTCCTCTTAGTGTTCTCGCTACCATAATGCTTTCTGACAGGGCTAGTCTCAGTAGTCTTGTCGCCTTTATGGTGCTAATGTGTGTCAAGTTAACAGTATTGATCTGTTTTGGTTTGGAGTGCCATTCACATGTAATAAAAAAAGAGAAGAGTAAGGTTTAGATTAGCTACGGAAGGAGTTTTGTTACCACTCGACCAAAACACGTCCAATTTTTTCACTTTTTTCACTTTTATCACGGCATGTGTTGAGGCTGCCTCGGCAAATATGTGTCTGAGCGTTCTAGACCGCTCACATAAGGGTTTGGTTTGCAGCTATTCTATCCCAGAGGGGGAGTGTGGCAGGGGTCTGGCCACACTCCCCCTTAGTCATGTCAAGCCCTGCCCTGCTCCCTGTCTGTGACAAGGCTACCTTTTCTTCTCAAGAAAGAGGGGGGGGGGGGGG